CTGATCTACCTTGCCAACGGTAAGCAGATGTTGGTCCGCCGCCTTGCCTTATTCTCGCTAACACGCCACAGAGGTCACCCAACAGTCAAAGGCGCGGCACAAGGAAGACTTTTTAGTCGCCTTCTCTCCCGTCGTCGCTGAAGCTACGGCATTGGCGTACAAGGGTGCGCCGGCCGAGATTCAGAACAAGATTAGAAGAGTCGTGGATGTCTGGAAGGACCGCTTCATTTTCGAACCCCCCATCCAGCAAGCCATCGAAGCGCGCATCGACGGTACGTCCATCAACGGCCGCTCAAGGACCATACTAACATTTATCAGAGCTCGACAAGGCCCGTGGAACCGCGAAGGCAAGCTTTGGAGGGCCTGGCATCGGTGGCGGACCTTCAGTCCCAGCGGAGCTCATCCCGGTCGTAACCTCGTACCAGAATGCTTCGAAGCTCAACCTGCCCACGAAGACAGCCATCAGCACCGCCAACCAGGATTTTGAGAAGCTCACCGACCCGTCCACGCCAGTTCCCTCGGCACCTGTCTATGCCGCACGCCTGAATGGTCTGCTCAAGAGTCTGGCAAGCGCAGAGGGTGCCGTTGCCGAGTGCGTCAAGGCCCGCAAGGATCTGATTGGCGAGTTGGAGAAGCTTCTAAGCGCGAACCAGGAGGCGCTTGTCAATGACGAGAAACAGTACGCCGAGCTGACGAAGCGAAAGGCGGAAACTGAGGAGAAGAGACGTGAGGTCGAGCTCGCCATTATGCGTGGACTGCCAACACATGAGGCATCTCAGTCGCCGGGCAACGGAACATCTGCGAGTCCAGAACCAGAGAGACCAGAGGTAGAAGCGCTCACGCCTCCTCCGGTCGAGGCTTTCACGCCGCCTAGCGTGGAAGCGTTGACCCCTCCCCCGATCCACGATGAGCCGCCTGTTCTCCGAGAAGGTGAGGCAGATCGCGCGCGATCGGCGTCAAGCCAGGCTTTCCAGCCGCCTCCCGCTACTGGCATCGAGATGCTTTCAAACCTGGCTTCTCAGTATCAGTCCATTCCGGTATCAGCAAACGGATCTAACAAGAGGCGCCGGCTAGACGGGGACGATTTCCCTGACCTTGGGGGAGACGACGGAATCGACGCTGATGTGGCAGAGATGCTCCGCAAGGACAGCAACGCTACAGCTTAAGAAATGTCGCTGGGGGCTTTATCTGACACGTTTTAATGCAGAACATTTGGGGTAGTCAGAGGAGCATGTAATGTTAGGAGGTACTTTAGAGAACGGCCGGAAGGCGTCTTGGTTTATATGGCCGTGACCAAAGACTGGGCTGATTTGAAGTCATTCACGGTATAGTTATTCGGTCTTGAAGTAACATCATCATCCTAGTCAGCAGGCTACGGCAACGCTGGAGCATGCCGTGCGTCGAGAGAGCTATGGGGTCGGCTGCACGCAGGCCCGACTTGGCGATCCCCCGGCTTGGCTCCTGCAGCATCGCACCACTTGTGAGAGCAACAGGGTTGAGTTTAATAAAAGTCAAATCAGTCGCGATCACAAAGAAGGACGCAAAAGAATGTGTGATGGAGCAAAGCGGATGAGGCCAGTGTATCAATCACGCGGGTGCATCGTGAGGTTCGTACAGACTAACGCTTAGAGCTCTGCATTTCCGGCCTCGGCAGAAACGGAAGGCAACGGGGCGGGGAGGGCTTCGGCGAAGAAACTGCCGGCCCGACTATCGCCGAGAGGCCGGGCTGCTGCAGGCTGCAGCGCGTGTCAGCAACCCCCCCCCTCCCCCCCAGTGCATGGTAAATTTTGAACCAGACCGATGACGGAATCTTAAACCTCTTCCAGCAGCCAGCTATGGCCGGATGCATGCGCAATTCGTTCAACCATTCCGTATGATGAAGCAGCCTTGTCCCGCACCTCCTAACTATGCGCCGCCCATGAGATAGACAAAAATCATTCCATACCATTTCGAAATGGCCACAGGGGCAGCGCGAACAGCGGTGCTGCTCCCGTACCGCGTCGGGAGCTGCAAAGCGGGCTCGCTGCTGGCGTCCATCCCCGGCCTGCGCAGCGCTTCGACGACGACGCCTTCAGTCATTCAACATCCACTCTTTTCGCCCGCCAGAAGCTACAGCTCGAAGCCCTCTGGGCAAATCATCACACCTTTTTGCGCCCGCGCTTTCGGTACCGGGTTACGACCGACAACATCCTCTCGAAACCCTCAAACCCCCATCTCCATCGCCGTTCTGCGCTATTTCTCGGCCGGATTACGCGCCCAGAAAGATGTCCCCGCCCCGACAAAACTTGAAACGACAAAAGAAGGCGAGCATGGCTCCAGACGGACTGAGCCGATGGAGAATCCGGAACATGACGACTTCCAAAAGAGCGAGAGAGCGGCCAAAGCGGCCCAGGTGAACCTGAGTGCGAAGCTGTCGAAGGAGGGCAAGACTCAGGGTAAGGCTGGATTCTCCGAGATCTGGCGATTGATCAAGATCGCGCGTCCGGAGCTGAGGTGGCTGGGGCTCGCCATGGTCTTCCTCGTCATTTCGTCCAGCGTCACCATGTCTATTCCCTTTTCCGTCGGCAGAATTCTCGACATCGCAACTAAGGACCCGTCAGAAGATGCCCGTTTGTTTGGTCTGACCATGCCACAGTTCTTCATGGCTCTGGGCACCATTCTCACGATCGGGGCCATGGCTAACTTTGGTAGGGTGATTCTTCTCCGCATCGTTGGCGAGAGAGTGGTCGCCCGGCTGCGATCCCAGCTGTACAGGAGAACCTACGTACAAGATGCCGAGTTCTTCGACGCGAATCGTGTGGGAGACCTCATCTCTCGCCTCAGCTCGGATACAGTCATTGTGGGCAAATCCATCACCCAGAACATCAGCGACGGTTTGAGAGCCCTGTTCAGCGGAGGTGCCGGCTTCGTGGTCATGGTTTGGTTGAGCCCGAAGCTCACCGGCCTTCTGCTCATCATGCTGCCGCCGGTCGCCGTCGGGGCCTTCTTCTACGGTCGTTCGATCAGGAACATCAGCAAGGGGATCCAGAAGAACCTGGGCACACTGACCAAAATCGCGGAGGAGCGTCTCGGGAACGTCAAGACCAGCCAAGCATTCGTCGGCGAGGTTCAAGAAGTCTCTCGGTACAACCGCCAGGTCAAGAAGATTTTCGCCCTCGGCAAGAGAGAGTCTACGGTCGCCGCGACGTTCTTCGCCTCGACGGGCTGGGCCGGCAACATGACGATTCTCGCCATGCTGATCGTTGGAGGCAACTTTGTGCGCAACGGTGCTATGACCTTGGGAGATCTCACGTCATTTATGATGTACACGGCCTTTGCGGGTTCCAGTCTGTTTGGCCTATCTTCGTTTTACTCGGAACTGATGAAGGGGGTCGGCGCCGCCAGCCGTCTGTTCGAGCTCCAGGACAGGAAGCCAGGCATATCGCAGACCGTGGGACTCAAGGTCCAGTCAGCGCAGGGCCCTATCCGCTTTTCAAACGTGTCCTTCGCTTATCCCACGCGCCCGGCCGTCAAGATCTTCAACGACCTCAACTTCGAGATCCCCTCCGGTAGCAACGTCTGCGTCGTGGGGCCCTCTGGCGGAGGGAAGTCAACCGTCGCGGGTCTTTTGTTGCGCTTCTACAACCCTACGTCTGGTTCCATCACCATCAATGGCGTGGACATATCCAAGATGAACATCAAGTCGCTGCGACGTCGCATCGGCATGGTGGCGCAGGAGCCTGTTCTGTTCTCCGGCACTATTGCGGAGAACATATCCTACGGGAAGCCCAACGCCAGCAGAGCCGAGATCGTTGCGGCAGCCCGCAAGGCGAACTGCAACTTCATTAGCGATCTTCCCGCTGGCTTGGACACACAGGTCGGCGCCCGGGGATCGCAGCTGTCTGGCGGTCAAAAGCAGCGCATTGCCATCGCGCGTGCTCTGATCAAAGACCCCGATATTCTCATTCTGGATGAAGCAACGTCCGCATTGGATGCCGAGTCCGAGACTCTTGTCAACGCTGCTCTGGCGTCGCTGCTCAAGGGCAGGAACACGACGATTTCGATTGCACACCGACTGTCGACGATCAAGCGATCCGACCTAATCATTGTCCTCTCCAACGACGGCAGAGTCGCCGAGATTGGCAAATACACCGAGCTCTCGGCCAACCCAGAGAGCGCATTCAGCAAGCTCATGGAGTGGCAGATGAGCGGCGGCGAGATCCCCGAGTCCCGTAGCGACCGAGGCCACATCACCGAAGAGGAAGAGATTGAATCGGACCTTGAACGCGAAGAGGTCGATGAGGAGGATGTCGACGTCGACACTAGTAGCAAAAAGGAGAAGGCTGGCGAGGAGCAAAGGTAAATCGGAGATGCCGGGCTGGCTGGCTGTACTGTTGTTTCCTAGTGTTTTATATCATGCAAAACGGGACATGAACGTTCGAGGCGGGTTGCAGCAACGGAGGAACCGTGCTGCTCGGTGCGGCACACGCTGTCAAACCATATATCACCAGATAGTTATTCACAATTATACAGCATCATAGAACAACTCCACTCGACCTGGAAGGACGTCTGGAGGCTGCTGGACAAGAACCGAGATAAATTAATAAGCCTAAAGGTTTGGTAGCATCGCGCTGCTCATGATATTGATCACTCCATCAATTCGCCTCAAGCTTGGAAGTCTTAAATTGAACGAAGTCCGGATAGATATTGAGGTCTAGGTAGTATTGCATGAGTATTGGCCAATACTGGGGGCGTCGAGCTCCCATGCCGCAAGCGGAGTCCTGTCATGACTGTTGGGTGCCACAATGGTCAGTGCCTCCACCACTTGACTACTTGGGGATGGCATTGTCTTGCGTCCCCCACGGCACGTGAAAGAAACCCGACAAGGGAGAGGATACCTGAATCCTTTCCATCACAAACCAGAGAGCTCTCACAACAAACACAGCACGACGTCGTGGCTTACTACCCGTAATATTCATCACTCGGGCATCGGAGCATACTTGTTTCAACCAGATTACATCATGGCGAGCGAGACCGAAGGCACTTTCGAGGTTGAAGGTCAGAAGCTCCACACCAAGACCTACACAGTGAGTTCAACGTCACCTTCACACAACATCGACCCAGTAACTAAGGTCCATCAGCCCCAAGGCCCCATCAAGGCCAAGCTCATCTTTGTCCACGGCTTCAGCGATCACATCGGACGCTATCCGGAGCTTTTCTCTTACCTTGCAGGCCGTGGCATCCAGGTTTTCGCCTGGGACCAGCGTGGATGGGGCCGCAGCGTGACCAAGCCAGCCGAGAGAGGCCTTACGGGGCCAACATCTCGCGTCCTCTCCGATGTTGCCGCCTTCATCCGCGACAAGCTGCCATCGCCGGATGCGCCCGTGTTCGTCCTGGGCCACTCCATGGGCGGCGGCCAGGTCCTCGCCCTCGCCAGCGACCCGCAGTATCATGAGCTTGTCGGCCAGGTCCGCGGTTGGCTGCTCGAGAGCCCCTTCATCGCCTTCACCCCCGGCGAGGAGCCTAGCTTCCTGAAGGTCTTTTTCGGCAAGCTTGCCAGCCGCCTGCTCCCGACGAAGCAGCTCGTTAATGAGATTCCCGCTGAAAACCTGACGCGGGACAAGGCGGTGCAGCAGAGCATCAAGGATGACGACCTCATGCACAACACCGGTACGCTTGAGGGTCTAGCGGGCATGCTGGAGCGGACGGACGCGCTGGCCCATGGCAAGCTCAGTCTGAGCCCCAACGTCAAGAGCCTTTGGCTAGGCCACGGCACCGAGGACAAGACGACGTGCTTCAATGCCAGTAAGAAATGGTACGGCGCGCAGAGCATCGAAGATTGCACGCACAAGCCATACGAGGGTGCGTACCATCAGCTGCATGCCGATCTTTGCAAGGAAGACTTCTTCAAAGACGTCGGAGACTGGATTCTGGAGCGCGCGGGTGACTCGGCGAGGCCCGAATCCAAGTTGTAGGAAACTTGGGTTTGCGAGGGTCATCTAGCCGCTCGTGTGCTCGTAAATGTAGCCTTTTATGATAGTCAGATTTGCCACCTGGTGTTTTTACACTTCTCCTCAGTTTGCCTTTACACGGCTACGGCATCTTACAGACTCATGTTCCTTCATATATTGCGTCTAGCGGTGCAGACTGATTGCCCTCGCATGTGCTGACGTCTGCCCCTCACGTTGTCACTGCCATGATAACCGCAGAGACTCGGGGCTTTTGCAACGTTGCCACTATGCTCTTGCAAGTCATCCAATCACGTAACAGAAATCTTCCCATCAAAGAAAGCATCCATGCGTAGATACTTGGCTGAGCGTGCTCTCGTATCGCGACGGCAGCTCCTGCCGAGGCTCGTGTGATGAGCTAAGAGGCGACAGAGCGGAAGGAACAGTTGGCTCAAGGACAACTCTTTCGTGGGTAAGCGTCAACAGTCGCTTCCGTTCCCCCGCAACACCCACGAAGCATCTGCGTCGACCAAGGTACCGTAGCTTCCCTCGAAACTTCAACAGGTCGTCTTGTTAGCTCGCCACATTCATGTTTATTCCAACTGGTCAGATCTGGATGTAAGCTTTAGGTGGCCAGCAGCGGACGGCCGGTTTCCACCTGCCCTCTATCCTCAACCGCGTCAACTCCTACGGTCAGCCAGGCTCGTCACACTTCCCCGAGGTTCTGAAGACTTTGCAGGAACAGCTCCTTCGTTCGTCATCTTGTAATCCTCACGCTACCGCCGCCATGGAGCCCGACCTATCCAAAAGTATTACTATGCACCCGTATCCTTTCCACTTCAACACACCTTCGCATCTCGCCAACACGTCTCGAAACTCATCTCGGAGTGTTTCTTCGAATATCAGCAGCGAAGAGGTCCCAGCCAATGCAACTAGTACAGCTTTGGAGACCCCCTTTCGTGCCAAGAACAAGACGAACGGGTCAGGGCTAATGCACACCTCGGATGTCATTGACGTCGAATGCCAGTCTCGTGTGCCCGGGGGAGGCACCGAGCCCGACCCCTACGGTCTATCCTGCGCCTTCAAGACCCCGGAGGAGCTTGCTCAAATCAAAGCCGACACGTCCCAAAGGAGAGAACCACGGCATACGAAGATTGGCCCATGGCGGCGGAGCAGACAGGTTCAGAAATATTACGAAACCCAGAATGCGGCGATCGAGCGCATGCTCAAGTCCGTCGACGACCATGTTGCCGACGCACGCCAGGAAGCCGGCGACAGCCATCTCCGGTTTAGGATAGCCATATGGGGCTCTTTTGGTACCAGCATTGTCCTAGCAGCCCTTCAGCTGCATGCTGCCATCAAGACGGAATCGTTGTCTCTGATAACCACAACGGCCGATGTCATCTTCGACCCGTTGAGCTACCTGGCCTTGATCCTGTCCGCCCGCACCACCAAGAAGGTCAACCCCCGGCGCTTCCCAGCGGGCAAGTCTCGCCTAGAGACAGTTGGGAACATCATATTCTGCAACTTGATGATGAGGTGAGTGGCAGCACAAAGGACTAGATAATTCTGTCCCTGGGGAGCTGACGATCCGCCGGCTTCTCTTAGTCTCTCGATGGTTATCATCGCCTTTGCCGCCCGCGAACTCAGCGATATTACGTCGGATAGGCATGTTAAGAATCTCAAGTCCGAGGCCGTCATCTCTCTCTGTGTAGCCTTCGGCACCAAGCTGGTTCTGTTCATCTACTGCTTTTCCCTGCGAAACCGATATTCCCAGGTCCGGGTTTTGTGGTCTGACCATCGTAACGCTCTTCTGGTCAACGGCTTCGGAATCCTCACCTCTGTCTGCGGATCACTGCTTAAATGGTGGATTGATCCAGCCGGTGCCATGATACTATCCGTGATAGTGATTATCCTATGGTCGCGCACCGCCATCGCCGAGTTCTTGTTGCTCGTGGGTGTCACAGCCTCGGTCGAGACGCAGCAACTCATCACGTACGTCTGCCTGACTCACTCTGAGGCGATACAGGGCATTAATACGGTGTGCGTTTATCATTCCGGGCCGCGCTTGATTGCAGAGGTTGACATAGTCATGGACCGAAAGAACACTTTGGCCGATGTACACGGCGTCGCCGAAGCACTGCAGGTCAAGCTTGAAAGCTTGCCAGACGTCGAGCGAGCCCATATACACCTTGATTACGAGATGACTCACAAGCAGGACCGCGGACTGAAGAAGGATCTGTAGCATCGTTCAGCTTGAAGACTGTCTCACAGCGTCTGCTGAAACGGGGGCCTGAAATTGGATGAGCCAGATACTTGATATCAATAGATGATTATGATTATTCCTTGTCGCTGTTTACAGTCTATATTGAAACCCATATATCGTTTGCACCTGTTTATCATCATTCGTTCGATTCTCTCATGCAGAGAACGCTTTATGGACGCCAGGCCAAGGAGCCTGAGCCCCAGATAAAGCAGTGCTGGCCATAGCTAGCGTTGCAGAAGGCGCACACTTTGATTCTCCCAGATTCTGCGACCGGTTAGTCTCGTGACGATCATGCGCATATGGTTCATGGAGGCAGACCTTTCTCAAGATCCCACAGGCCATTGCTGAGCATCAGGTACGCCTCCCGAGCGTCCGCGGTATCCGGCAACGCGCTGTTTCCCCCGGCCTGGCTGCTGCAGACGCGGGCCAGCTCCGCTCCGGTGGATGCCCTGCCTTCTCCAGCGGCGAGAGTGAGCCAGTGGTGGCAGAGGCAGGCGCCGCGGAAGGTGATAGACGCAAGTTGAAGAATCGTCGACCTCCGGAGGAGTGACGGGAAGAAGGTGGCCAGATCCAGCGGGTCGACCTTCTTCTCGCCCCTGGCGCAGAGTTTCAAACCCACGACGAAGTCATTCTGGCGATAGAGGACGGAGGTAGCCTCGCGGTTGATCTGACGGCACGTCTGCAGTACCTCGACGTGAGGCCGCCTGTGAGTAAGCGGCACGGTGCGTGCTGTGGGCCGAGGGGCACGCAGGTAGGCGTTTTGGTACTCCGGCGGCTCGACTTTTACGCGGAGCTGACGTCGACTGCTGGACACTATGACGGGCTCCGGGGAGAGGAGGAGGAGCTCGTAGATGTCTAGGCGAAGCTCGTAAGGGAGGTCGAGAAGGGTTAGGCGCCGCGGGCTTGGCTCCGAGGCGGCGGCGGACTGGAGCGGCTACAGACAGGAAGGGGGAATACAGTTAGTCCCGCTCGACTAGACCTTTTTTTTCCCCCTTTCAAACGAGAAGCAAGCAGAAGCCACACAAACAAGGTATGCGGGAAATTGAAGGCGGTGCGGTAATTTGCAGATGAGAGAGGACGGGGGTTGCTGGAAGGCCTAGTCCGACATGTCGATATGTATGCCGTACCGGATGGACCCTGGGTGCAGATCGGTGGCACAGGTACTCGGATACATATTCCGCTCGCCGGAAAGGCTTACCGGGCGGTAAAGTTGAGTATCTCACAGGGTGACCTCTCGAACCAAGTCGAAGCGAGGTTGGAGATGCTGCGCGGTGTCGCTGTGGTGTGCTTGGCATATGTGTGACGTAGGCAGGGGCGGTTGTGAGGTCGGTTTCCCCGGATGATCCACACTTGTGACCAGCAATCTCACTGCTGAGGATATCGTGGGGACTCGACGAGGGCTGACGTGGATGGAGGATACATGCCCGGCCGTGCAGCAGTGGTACGAAGGAGAGTTGCATGGCAATGGAGCGAATGTGGGCGCGACTGCAAAGGGGGGACCACGGCGGGTAAGGTAGATGGATGGAGCAGGACGGTGAAGATCAGGACTCACTAGCTGGGGCTGCAGCTCGAACGAGTGATCGGAGGACATGGCTCCCTCTGGGCCTCTCTGCCTCTGCCTCTGCCTTTGCCTCTGCCTCTGGACAGCTCTGAATGGCCAAGTCTGGATTGTCAATCAAAGGTTGATGATGGACGGATGGATGGGGGCCTCTTCTCCTTTTTGGGGGCAGAGCGGCAGAAGGTGATGGACCCTTGGCATGGGGTTGTGAGATGGGCGGCACAGAAGGGATGAATGACGATGCAGCAGCAAGTCGGTTCTGGGTTGATGGGCCGGCGGTCGAAACCTGGAACGGATGGGAAAAAGGACGAGGGGAGTGCGGATTTAATCCAGCATCCGGGCCGGCACGGTCTTCATTCCAGCGCCTGTGTTTTCTGAAGGAGGTGAGGCACGGTACCGTCAGCACCTCGGCGTCTTCAGCCCGTCCGCAGGCAAGGCAAAGGCAGACGAGCTCGAGACACGAAGACGGGACGAGTCCTGGCTCACTGTTGTCTTGCTCGAGGTGACCGCCGAGAGCGGTCTCTCCAACAAAGGGAGACGCGGAGAGGCAGAGGCAGGCTAGCCCACTTGCAGCGGGCATAACTAGCCGCATGGGTGCTGGGTTTGAACTCTGCGGGAGCTCCAGCCTCCAACCTCCAGCGTCCCGTCCTGTCCTTCACGTCGGTGGCAGGCAGGACCTGGCGGGAGGATGTGGCGGGTGCGGGGAAGCTTTGGGGAGGACGGTCTGCCACCTCGTCTCAAGTACGGATAACCTGGGCATGGAGCTGTGCACTTTAAGACGCAACGATAGAAGTGACGGTGGGGGTTGGGCCGGCAATAAGACGAGCAGAGCATCGGCAGAGGCAGGGCAGAGCAGAATGCTTTGGCTTCGCCGGTACGACATTGCACTGACTGCAGGTGGATGGCAATGCGCATAGGTTAGGTTAGGTTAGGTTAGGTTGTTGTTGTTATTATTATCGTCCAGTCTGCGGACCTGGGTCCATCTTAGACGGCCCATGTAAAGATAGGACGCTGTTGTGGCTCTTGTAATTCAGTCTAATTCCATTGAATTTTTCTTGTTATACGCGAAGCACCTAGCTTGCTGCATCTTAGCTCTGCTTAGCTCGCCAGGGAGGGATACCTACACGATAGCGGCCGCTTCTCCTCATCTCTCGTCTCCTCACGTGTCTCAACCAGCATGGAATGCCTCCTTATGAGCTTTGCCATTGAGCCCGTCACCTATTATCGACGAACCACTCTCGTGAAGCAATGACACCCCGTCCTGGGGCCAGAAAACCGGCACCAGATGAGGTGTCTTGCACCCTCCACATCCGCGGCGGGCATGGAACCCTGCAAGGCGTCGACGCGGATTCCCGGGAGGTGACGGGTAGTGGAACAGGCACAGGTGCCTAGATGGCCGAGAATCAGCCCCGAACGGTGGAAGAATGGGCAGAGATACTTCTGTCTCTCAATGCCGCAGGTTCGGGAATGAAATGGTAGCACAAATGTCGCGCGTCGTGTTGAAGGGTTTTCAGAGGCATCGGAGGATAAAGGAGGTGCTCCTCGAGCCCGCACAAGGCATCGCTTGAGAAGAAGAAGAAGTGAAGTGGCCACGGCACAGCGCTTGAGGTATGTATGTACGGATACCTTACACTACACCATGCAATCTTCTCTTGGATACCCAGGGCAGGTGAGTAGGCAGGCATGCCATTGGCGTCTGAACAGGGGGAAAAGGTGGGAACTTCTCACTCAAGCGTCATTCTGGTGGTCCAGCCAGAGAGAGAGAGAGAGAGAGAGAGAGAGAGAGAAAGGGAAACCCGGCAGAGTGTTTGATGGAAGTTGGCCACCCACCGGATCAGAGATCAGAGAGCAGAGGCGAAACATCGTCTCAGCTTTGAGGTCCTCGGTGCACTCTTCTCTCCTCATGCATCTGGGTATCATCGAAGAAGAGGCGGTCTGAAATCACCATCATCAACATCTCCGCCGCTGACTTGCTCGACAGTCTCGACAGTCTCGACAGTATCCATCCGTAACTGCCACCACTACCACCCATCCCGCCGCAATCTCCTGCCATGCTGCAACGGCCTTGCTAGTGCTGCACAGCTGTTTGCCACGACCCGGCCCACCTCGACCTCTCTGTCCTATCCGGCCCTGCAGCGCTCTGGGGTCTTTCGCCAGCGCCCCTTGTCGCGCATCGTCGCTTTCCTTGCTGGCAATACATGTTCGATTTTTTATTGTATCACGAGTATTATTCGTCGACCAAGAAGTAGACCTGCCCGAGACTCCTTGCCATTGGTAGTCTCTTCTCTGCGACGTCCACCCGAGGTACGTTCTTTTCTCACGCTACACACTTATTTTTGCTGTGCGATGATATCTGAAGCTTCTCGCGGGAGAGGGGGGGAAAAATCGCATCGTATCGCGACTAACACGTACTCTTCGCTAACGATATATAATTACGGGCCACAGACATATCAACCGACCAGTTCCCGTCCCGCCTGCACGCATGCTCGCTTGCAACGGACGTCAACAAATTCCTTGCCCCTACTCATAATCTCTGGGTTTCCTGCTTCTTCGTCTCCTCCTTCCCCTCCCTTCCTCTCCCCGTCCTCGTGCAGCCTCCAAGGATCCCTGGGGCATCACCAACTGAACACGAGCACAGCAAGGTACCCCCGGCTTCCTTGCGTCTTGTGCCCACCTCGGAGCTCTGCTCCCACCTACGAATACTCCACGCCTTCTCTTCTCTCCGCACCGCAAGTGGACTCGACCTAGACCTGGACCTTGACCTGGACCCAGAGCGCACGGCGCCTATCCCCGCCACACACTCCCATCAGTCGCCCAACTTCAACTTTTGCCGTGCTACACCACCAATTCTGACGGAGCACTTGTGTTATATTGTCCATGGCCTTTCGCTGACGCCCGCACCTGTCTTTGTCTCGCTCTTTTTTTTTTTTTTTGGTGTGTCCGTTTGGCTTCGCGTCTGTCTCGGAACGCCTCGTCTTCACAATGGCGGCCCTTCGCGGAGGCGATCAGGTCTATGCAACGGTTCGTGGGGCTCAACCGTCGATGCAAAACCCCCAAAAAGTAAACAAACAGCTAATCGCCAGCCTTCCATAGCTCCTGTTGAACGACACATACCTTCCAGGTAGGCCCAGCCCGCTCAATCCGCTTCCTGTGTCGATGCTCACACTTTTGGTGCTAGGCGCACTAGTTCTTGCTCATTCTTTGCGCGATGCCGGCACCTCGAGACAGCTCGCCGTCTTGGTCACGCTCGATACCGTCTCCGCTGAGGTCATCACCGAACTCAAGGTGAGCTGAGCTCCCGTGCGAATATCTCCACTCCCGCCACACTCTGAGCTTCCCCGAGCTTCGTGCTAAACACCAGTTGGCTTCCAGGCCGTCTACGACCATGTAATCCCTGTGCCGAGAATACGAAACGACCGACCCGCCAACCTCTACCTCATGAACCGCCCCGATCTGCACTCTGCCTTTACCAAAGTCAACCTGTGGAGACAGACCCAATTCTCCAAGATTGTCTACATTGACGCCGATGTCGTTGCGTACCGGGCTCCCGACGAGCTGTTCGACATCGCCGCGCCCTTTTCTGCGGCGCCCGACATTGGTTGGCCGGACCTCTTCAACACGGGTGTCATGGTGCTCAGCCCCAACATGGGCGACTACTATGCGCTCATGGCCATGGCCGAGCGAGGAATCTCGTTCGACGGCGCCGACCAGGGTTTGTTGAACATGCACTTCAAGAACACGTACAACCGCATCAGCTTCACCTACAACGTCACTCCTTCGGCGCACTACCAATACGTCCCCGCCTACCGCCACTTCCAGTCGAGCATCAACATGGTCCACTTCATTGGTCCCGACAAGCCCTGGTTCAAGGGCCGCCAACCGAGCCAGACCGACTCGCCTTTCGAGGACATGGTCGGCAGGTGGTGGGCCGTCTATGATCGCCACTACAGAGCCACGGTGTGTCCCACAAACCACTCGTCCAGATCAGATGCTGACGGAGGTCAAATTCAGGAGACGAAAGCTGCTGCCCCTCCACAGCATGACAACGTCCCGGAAATCGTACAGTACTTCACCAAGGGAGAATTCCAGCCGCAAGTTGCTCACGTAGCATCAACGGGTGAGCATTGTCGCGTCGCGCTGCCTTCCCCCACAGGATGCCCGTGATCATGGCCCGTCCCATCCGCACCAGTATCACGGATCGCTGCCCCGTGACCCCGGTCAAGGACCTCGGCCTGAGATTGCGTATCAGGCTGGCCCTTCGTTATCCCCTTCCAGCGAGTCTTTTCATGTTTCTCCCAGACCGCAAGCTGAGACTTGACCAGAGCAGGTTCCAGCGCACCAGGAGCGAGGTCCATCACCGCCACCTGCGGAGCCGCCGCGAGAGCCAAGCAACCCCCCCGTGCCAGCATGGGATGCTCAGAGGTATGTTTTTCATTGCCCGTCTGTGCCAGACCTTGGACTAAGCGGCCTAGACAACCGCCCCCCGCAGACTCGAGGCCGGAGGCTCTCAACTTCCCGTCGCAGGTGTATGAAATGTCTCAGGATACCGCTCCGTTTGTGCCTCCCGAACGATACCCGAGCCCGCCGCGCAACATGTGGTACGAGGTCCCCAAAGAGAAGCCTGCGCCGCCGACGCAGAAGCCGCGACCCATCTTCCCCTGGGAGGTGAACCAGCCCAAACCGACCCGCATCTTTACCGGGGAACTGGCATCGCCATCGGCCGAGGAGCCCTCGAGCACAACAACTGGTGAGAAAACGGCGTCATCCGCATTCCAGGCTCTTGCTGAGCCGTCTCTTGTAGGATCATCGACGACCGGCCAAAAGAGCGAGCCCAGCACCCCAGCCACCCCGACCATCAGAGTTGCCACGTCGGATCCTTGGAACGCCTTCACACGTACCAATGCCTGGGACGAAGTGCCCGAGATCGAGCGCTATGTCGAGGGTCTTCAGAAGCATCGTCGTGGGAGGAGCCAAGGGTCGCTGGGCGGCACACCTGTTGCGAAGGTGGCAAAGGAGCACGGGCTCAAGCTCAC